CACACAAGATCAGAAGCTCACTACAGCCAGCTCACTGATATGCACATAATGTCACTACACACAAGCTCACTGACACCTTCACAAGCTCACCCACAGACACACAAGCTAACTACAGAAAAATCACTACACACAGTTCACTGCAGCTTTTGAACACTGACAAGCTCACTATAAACAGCTCACAACACACAAGCTCACACAGCGTACTGACACACACTCAAGCTCACTACACACACACACACACACACACACACACACACACACACACAGAAGATCACTAGCACCCAGAACACACAAGCTGACTGTCACTCACCCCTTGCTGTAATTGGAGAGCTGGAAGTTGACCCATGTCTCCCAAGCTGTTCCTGTCAGCATGGCCACATCGTTAACGCTGGGAGCTGAGCTTAGCTGCTGCTGGCTTTGGCCCCTGCAGCTTGTTCAAGGGGTGCTGCTCTTCAAAGAAGCAGACAGGGGGCTGTAGGGGTTTAAACCCACTGTGGTTTATGTTGATAGAGGGAATGGGCTCAGGGAGGAGGAAATTTGGACAACAGATTCCCATGACATTCTGATGGCACTTGCTTTGGTGCCCCCCTGGCTCAGCCCCTGATGTAAGGTATGTTTGTATGTGTAAATGCTGGTGTTTGTATAAAGGCTAGATTTGTATGGCATTTTAGAGTGTGTGTGATTATGAATAGGGGTGTTTTTGTGCAGTGTGTCAGTTTGTGTGCATGCATGATTGTATTTGTGTGAAAGTTTGGTGAGTGTTTGGTAAGTCTACTCATCTTTTAGTCACTGTTTGTTTGTGTCTCTCATCATGCTCCCAACTCCTTAAAATTATCCTCCTCATCTGGTGCCTACCCTGCTATCTCTGCCCTAGCTTACCTTCCATTTCAGTCTGTTCAGGCTGACTCCACATCCTCCCCTGAGCAGAATGTCGCTGTTACCATCACAGCTGCTCCTCCTCCTTCACACATGCGGTGGGCGCTCTGTATCTGTGTAAGAGCGGGAAGGGGATGTGATGTCACTCCCTAGCCCTTCCTCTTTGCCAACACAGAGCGCTCCCGCTGGGGAACTGATCCCACTAACGTTGCAAACTTTGCTGCCTTGTTTGTTGCTGGGACGGTTTGGGAGATCCTCTGATCTCCCCAGCCTGGCCATAGCTGCTCCGGGCCCCTGACTGGCACGGGCCCTCGGTCCATGATCGATGTGCCCGACTGGTCAGTCCGCCACTGCTGCTTAGGGACTTATGGCTCTCTGGCAATGGTAGGTGAGCGGTTGCCCGGGGAATTCAAGGTAAGAAAAACAGTTTGACTCCATACAGTGGGTTGAGCTGTAGTATTTATGGTGCCTTGTTTTATTTAAAAAAAGAGTAACATTTGCATAAAATATTATCTACCCCTATAATTAAACAAGTCACCACCTAAGTACCCCAAATGATAAATGTCCTGCAAGATGTCAAACGTGACAATTTATTACCTTATTTTAACTTTATAGTCTTTAGGTACAGATAGGGACAGTTTAGGCACTACAGCAACTTCATCTAAATTAAGGTACTCTCTTACCTTAAGGAGGTAAACTATTCTTGAATGGTTTAACCCTAAAGTGAGTCTCCAGCAGCAATCCTCAGGGCTTCAGGCTTCTGAAATCTCAGTTTCAGGAAGTGCGGAGTGCCGCCAGTCAGGTGTGCCACTGATTGGCTGTGAAGACAGCTGATGCTAAAAAAAGAACAAAAGTGCGCTGTGCCTTTAAGTGCTAATATAACAATATGAACAATATGTAAACCAATAATGGTCCAACTGTAGTGAATAAAGTGCAAATACAGTATATATATATTATTAAAGTGCAAATCAATAAAATCCAGTGGTAAATACCCTGTGAATATGTGCACTTTGTGAAATACAAACAACAAAGAACTTACTCCTTTAAATCTAGACTCTGTTGACACTTGAAGGAGTATCTCTTTAAAACGCTCCACATAAAAACATAAGATAGAGGGACAAAAGAACACAATATAGTGTAACTCTGTATCACAAATGTAACCAGGAAATAATAAAAGAATATCACTCACAATGGTAGAGCAGAATAAAGTCTGCTCTAACTATAAAAGCGTGCAAATCCTCTCATCAGGATTCTGTAGGATAGTAGTGCTTAAAACAAGCAGGACGGCACCAAATAAAAATAAGACTTTATTGGTATAAAATTTCAGTGAGTCATCACCCTTCTCCCTGGAAAGCCAAGCTGGTACGGATCCCCTTCTGACTCGCGGCATGCACTTGCGGTCTTTCAGTGGATAGATGCTTCCGGGAGTAGGAGGTGCTACTGACACGTAGTGACGTTGTACGTCCAAAAAACGTGATGACGCGTTTCGCCTTGGCGGCTTCCTCAAATCACGTTCGAGTGGTTGCCGTCTCTCAGAACATATACCCGTCTATGTGGGCGTGGTATCTGCTTCAATAGTCCCAATTGCAATCAAGTTACATGGGCTCCAAGGCATATCGCCTAAATGTCTCTTTATGAAAAATGTCCATGGTAACAAACATCACATATATCCTACTAATCCTACTAGTAATACCATTATAATTAATTGGGTTAAATACACATATATAAATACACATCCTATTATATGGAAGAAAAAGAAAATATAAAGGTTACTTTATAAAAATATAAATATATATATACATGGTACAATGCTAGGTAAATCTGAATAATCCCAGTATGCATAAAAAAAAGGGGTTACTTTATAAAAATATAAATATATATAAATAGACCAATGCTAGGTAAATCTGAATAATCCCAGAGGAAAAAAAAAAATAAAAAAAATATATATATATATATATATATAATATATATATAAAATAACTGGAAAAAAGAGAGAGTAATCATAAAAAATTATATAAATCAAATTCAATATTAAGTCCATTGGGCTCTAGGGAACCTAATTTATGTACCCATTTCATTTCTTCCTTCCCAATGTCTAGAATAAAATTACCTCCTCTCCAAGATTTTTTCACTATCTGGATACCTAAAAAAGTTAAACCACTTGGATCTGATTTATGATATCTTTTAAAATGAGCCGAAACACTATGCTGCTCGAAGCCCTTTTTAATATTATTAATATGCTCATATATTCTTTTATGTAGAGGACGAATAGTCCTGCCAACATATTGCAGTCCGCACGGACAGATTAAAAGATAAATAAGATTTTTAC